CTCATAGTTGTTTATTTATACACATTTTGTCATTGGATAAACCATCGAGTCATTCTATGTGCAATGATTTCAATTTGAACCATGAAGATGAGACATTCTATATATACCTACATGTTACGTTTATTTTTCCATAGATTTTAAATATTTGCCACACTATCCCAATATCCACATAATCCTAATCATCCTACAAATATTAACGTCCATGTCAAATATATATTGATTGATTCAATTTTGTTGTAGAAAGTGTCAGCCTGAGAATCATGATTTACACGGATTAATGTGTAGATCCTGCTCTTTTGAATATACACTTAAAGCTAATGGATGCAATCTTTTGTCAATAGACAGAGAATAGAAAGAGTCCCACACACATGCAGGGGTCTTGTGGACCTTTGCCCTCAGCTCGGGATTCCAAGGGAAGAGTCTTTGCTCAATGTCTCGGGGTCTCTATGTTAAGGGATGTGGTTCACCAGAATCAAAACCACAATCTCCTTCAAGAAAACACAAATAGTGGTGAGTCTCTAGGGTGCTCCTGTTGATGTCCATGTTCCTCACAACCAACATCACACTTCCATGAGAGAGGTCAGAAGACTCAATTCTGTGAGCATCATCAAGACATCTCAACATGGATTGCAGCCTAGCCCACGTGTCAGTTCCTCAACATGGGGACAATTTTCACTTACTTAACGTAGAAGGTGACGGCTAACTTCTCACAATCATCAATACATTCAAGGTGACGAAAACGGACTCTCATGTCTGCATCTTCACTAATCTTCTCTACGTTATCAGCTCCCATGAGAATGGTGCGCCATTCCCCGGTGATCTGCAAAGGAAAGGTCCCCTGGGAATGGCTGCTGGCTCCTCCTTCTCGTCTCTCATCCACACTTATTAGAACCATGGCAGCTGGTTTAGCTCAGAAGGAAACAACAAACCCAGTCAGGAGGTAGCCACGCAAGCTCTGCTCTCCAGAGGTAGAATCTCATTAATAAGGACAGATTCCCACAGGGAGCATGGAATTGAGAGGCTCTGAAACAGCTGAACAACTTCACCAAATGTATGGGATCTAGTAGGTGACACTGTGGCACCTTAACATTTTATCAACTTACTTAATTCAGGAGGAATGTGATAGTCACTGAAAGAGTCAGAATACAGAAGTAGAGAAGGATCATCTCATGATTATAGATATATGAGCACTGAGATGCCCCTAAAATCCCATGTCACTTAAAATGGAGATATTTGGGGAGAAAGAGAGAAAGAAGGAGAGAGGAAGAGACCACCCCCAAGATCAGCCCATCCAGCTACCTCTTCTGGGTCGACCTGGGATGAAACACAGATCAGAGCGAATCCGAGAGCAAGCAGAAAGGTCTTCATCTTGATGAGATCTGTCTTCCTGTCCTTCAGGAGATCAAGGTAGATGAGCGATTGAAGAGAACGAGTTTGATGCCTCTTTATATAGTATTGATGGCTTGGCATGAGCAGCAATGGATCCATTGTTTTTCATCCTGAACCTTCCGTCTGCTCAGTGTTTCCTGGTTGGCTTGGCTGGGCTCTCCAGGACCTTCTGTTATTTAACTA